TCCCAACTCTGAGACTCTAAGCCATTATCTAAAAAGGTTTTAAGTGTTAGCATAGTAGCCCTCTGACCCAGTGCACTGCTACTTTTGCGGGTGCTGGATGAAGCGAAGTTCGGGGTTCCTGATGTGGGCTTCGTCCCCACACCTCCTGCTCAGTTCTCACTGAGTTGCACCAGGGACTGGAGTCAAGGGGAGAGTGTGATTTATACCTCAGCCCCATGGAATTTGAAGACCAAACGCTGTATTAATATTGTACCCTGTAAATCTTTTCTCGCATTAGCAGCCTTCTGGTAAAGTTTGCCAAGGAAGCACTGCCATGTGTGCGGATGGAGCTGAACTAAAATGAGAAGATTGGAAAACTAACCACACTAATAAATTTCATTTGAGGCCGTTGGAAAACAGTCTGCTGTTTTGACAAGTTAGAAACAACACACACATCCATTCTCTGTTTCTAATGGTTAAAATGAATTTCCAGAACCCAACAGAAACGCCTCATAGCAGAAGCCTAATTTTTCTGCGCAGTCACCCAGATGTCAAACCGAGCCGTGCTTTAGGCTTCAGTGTGATCGCGTTGGCGAGCCTGAATGAGACCGGCAGCTTTAGGATTATGGAGCCACATTCCCCTTCCCCCTCTGCAGTCAGGGAACCACGAGGGTTATGGAAACCCCCACCTCTGTGACTTTTCATTGTCCCACAGATCACGGCCCTTCCCCAAGGACATTGACCCAGCATGAATGGTGCCAAGGCCACATCTGTGGTGCCACTCCGATTGTCGTCCACAGCCCCCTTGTTTCCCTACCCACAAGAATGGTAATCATCCAGTAGCCCCCTGAGTACCAACATCTGGCCCAGGTCTTTTTTTTTTTTTTTTTTTAATTAAAAAAATTTTTTTTAAATATTTTATTTATTTATTTTTATTTTATTTATTTATTTATTTATTTTTTTTACAGAGAGGAAGGGAGAGAGAGAGAGTCAGAAACATCGATGAGAGAGAAACATCAATCAGCTGCCTCCTGCACACCCCCTACTGGAGAAATGCCCGCAACCAAGATACATGCCCCTGATCGAAATCGAACCCTGGACCCTTCAGTCCGCAGGTTGATGCTCTATCCATTGAGCCAAACCAGTTTTAGCTGGCCTAGGTCTTAGAACTGGATTTGTACTTTGGTTTTATTCTTACTGAGTGGACATTATTCAGTTAATATGGTGAAACCGGGGGCCTTCCATTACTTTAACTTCCTGATTACTCTTCCGGTCCTTCCCCTGCCTCTAGAACATTTTACTGATATTCACTCTCGGTTTTAAAATGAATTTGGTTCAAGCTCCTCCCCATGGCCTAGGAGAGAAGCCGTGCAGCGGACCAGGTAGGAGCCCCCTTGCGGCCGGACCGCCTGGTTGAGCCCTGACCCCCATCTGACCGCTGAGTGACCTTAGGCAGGCTCCTTGAGGTCTGCCTCCGTTTCTTCATCTGTGGATGGGGGCAAAAATAACACGCGCTGGAGTATTGGTGTTGACTTCCTGTTGAGTGGATTGAATGGGTTGATTCACACGAAGCACAGAGTGTGGAGCCTGGTGTGTGATAAGTGCCCCCAAGCCCTGCCTGTTGTCATTATCTCTGGTCACTTATTGCCAGGTCTGTGACCTCACCTTCCCTAGCCCTGGATGTGCCATGGCCTTGAGATTTTTGCACATCCTCTTCCCTCTGCCTGGATCACCCTGCCCTCTGTATCTCTTTTTCCCACAGCGAGTCTCTGCTTATCCTCACAGATCCAGGTCAAGTGTCTCCTCTCTGATGCGTTTCTCCCTGCTGCAGGCAGGACAAATGGTTCTCTCTGCTGTGTTCCCATCGTCCTGGGCTGTCCCTGGGTGAGGATTTACCGCTCTGTCCCCTCGCTGGCACTCAGGGACACCGAGGCTTCCCTTGTCTTCCAAATGGGAATTTCCTCGGGGGGTGCAGGGTTCCCACCGTGTTCATCGCACGTGGCCAAGCACGCAGAAGGCATTTGGTAAATGTTTGCTGAACAAATAAACACACGGTTTTCCTTTTTGTTTTGTTTTGTTTTGTGTGTGTGTGTGTGTGTGTTTGCTGTTCACAGTGCATTAATAAATTTACAGTGAGAAAGACGAGTCTCAATAGCTTAAAAGGCTGCCTGAAGTGATTGTGTCTAACCAAGTGTAGTCATTTGGCTCTGTGGGCTGGTTTTTAATAGTCATTTAAAAAAGACTGTCACCGGATAGTTACAGAGACAAGAGATCATCATTTAAATCACAGTGCTTTCAACCCATCCATGGTGTTGGTCTACAATTTAATGACGAGGAAAATACATCTAGCAAGTAAATACTTAACTAAACATTTGGGCACTTGACTTGAATGTGGAGGGCAACACGGCAGTTGTAAATGTTAAGATGTAGTTTAACCAACTTATCCCAGCATTTTACTGGTAGAAATTAATGTTCTTTCATGAGGCAATGGCTTTCTTGTCATATTACAGATATCATATCATCTCGTGTTATGTGGTATAAGAAAAATGCTATAAGTGATCGAAGTTTAGGAGAGAATGCTCCCTTTGAATAAGAGCCCTGGCTTTGCCCAGGTGGTTTCATAGTCACGTTTTTGAGCTGCTTTGGTTCACTCCACCAGCCCACTTGTTTTTTGTACTCGTGGCACTGACACAGACACGGCTTCAACGGGTTGCTTTCCCCACTCCACACGGGATCTCTGCAGGGTGTGTCTCTGTGCTGACTGGCGGTCACCTCCGATGCCATCCCACTCTCGGGAGGAGGATCCTGACTGGCCGTCATCACTTTTGGAACCAAGGCCTAGAGCCCAGGTCGCTGAAATAATTTGCCTGAATATCTTTTAAGAGTCTTCCCCAAGTTCAGTCAGCTTGGCCCTAGGGATGAAACAAGCTCAAAACAGGGCTGCTTAGAGAAGATGTCACAGGCGCCAGGGTCCGCAGGACGCAGGCAGGTTGTGTGATTGGACAGATGAGTCTGGGTGTGAGAGGCACAGGCCAGAGGCAGGTGTGGTCTACAAGCATCTATTCTTGAGAATGAAGGCTTAGGTTTGAATCCCAGTCTACTTGTCAGCTGGATAATTCAGACCAAATTACTTAATCTCAGTATGCCCCAGTTTCCTATCTGTAGGGCAGTTATAAGAATTAAATGAGTTTGCAAAGTGCTTTGAAATGGTACCCAACACATCATAAACAGTGTCAGCTCTTAAGAAAATTTTCACTCGCATCAGCATGCTCATCATCATTTTGTCCCACAATGAAATGAGCTTCCTTTTTAAAAAATACATGAAGCTCTCTTGGTCTGTGTAGTTTTTCCTGTTTGTAGAGCCACAAACACAGAGAAATGGTTTCCACAGAGCGAGAAAAATGATGAAGACAGCTGGCATTCCTCTTCATCGCTATATGGGCTTAGGGCAAGCTGGGCACCACGGTGGATGGGTGCCGGGGTCCTGAATAAAAGAGCAGGGCCTTCCCTAATGGAACTGATGCTGAGAAACGGACCCAGGCCTCTCACATCCGTCTATCTTTATAATAAGCTCATATTATGTTTGACACCTGACACATCTGCAGGCTGGTACCGCCCTGAATCTGGTGACTTTTGGCCCCAGGCTGCTGCTTCAGGAAGATGGTGTGGGCAGGGCTGGTCTCTCAGAACAGGCACCAAGTGGCCCTTCTTGTATGAACTAGAAGATTGTACTTACAGAGGGTAGGACCATGAAGCCCCTCCCAGGGACAGCAGTGTGACCTGGGGAACTGTATGTTCTGATCTTCCCTGTTGAGATTCCTGTGTGTTTCCAAGAAAAGGCATCTGACTTTGATTTTATGTTGAAACGATTATATTTTTTAGTTCAGATATTACATCCACTGCCTTTCCTAGAAGTAGCCCTTTCATGTCCCAGGCCATCCCCTCCCCTTTGGGCTCTGAGTGTTAATTCCCTCTTATCTGTTACCACACACCCGTTAACTCCCCATGGCCTTCCTCATTCTACCCTGGTATTCTGGTAACAACTGAACAAGAGCAGTCAAACCCAGTGTCTGTCTGGCGCGCGCGCTCTCTCTCTCTCTCTCTTTCTCTCTCTCTCTCTCTCTCTTTCTCTCTCTCTCTCTCTCTCTCTCTCTCCCCGTCTCTCAGTCTCCTTTCCTGACACACACATGTTCATGCACACACACATGCTGCATGTGCACACACACACAACATCAGTGTATCCTGTTTATTTTCTACAGAGCATGTGGAGTGGTCTTTTAAAAATACGAATTAGCACCCTCCCGTTTTCATCTGACTTAGACATTCTCAAGCTCAGGATCCTGGCCTTGGATGTGGCTGTAGCACCTGGCCTTTCGGGGCCTCTCCCTGGGCTTGCCCCATGCTTTGTGGCTGTAGCATCCGGCCCGCTCCCTGCCTCTCCTGTGCTGCCTCATGTGACACGGCACACTGCTGTCTTCCTGCTCTGCTCTCTTCGTCCCATCGGTTCCCCTCCCTGGAATGCAGTTTTCCCCAGTGGTTACTCTGTCTCCTTCCATCTGAGACCTGTCAGAGCAAGAACCTTGTTTGCCTTGTGCTTGTCACTGAGTCATCATTGCCAAATGAATGAATCAATGAATGAATGGTTGAACTGTGGGCATTTAGGGGTGGGGGTATGGGAAAAGTGTTAGAAAATAAAGTAATCTATTCACCAAAGTTCACAGAGGCAGGAGGGAAAGGAGCAAACTTGCCATGGCATGGGATTTCCTACATCGCTAATCCTATTGATTTGCCTAACGTGCAAACGATGCCGCATGTGAGAGCAGATTGACTTGGGCCTGATGTGGCTGTGAGACCTTAGTCCTCAAAACATTCCATTTTGAGTATTCTCATTAAAGGTAATAGCAGAAAATTGCCCCAAAGATTGCCCTGGTTTTTCGGTGGTGATCCCTTCTTGAGAGCTGTTAATTTGTTTAGCTAATGCTAATTTATTTCATATGCTTCTACGTTCTGTTGTTTTCTAGGTCTGTTGCCACAGCTATTGGGAGTCGCCCCAGAGAAGGCCATAAAACTCACAGTAAGTCTGTTGAGTGGATGCTTCTTATTAAAGGAGTTTGCACACTCAGGAATCAAGGAGACAGTTCGTATGGGAAGCAGCCAGTTGGCGCTGCCTCAGAGCTGCTGACTGATACAGTTTGAACATCGGGCGCTCACCTCGCCCAGCTTCTCTTTTTTCCCCACTTCACACTGACCGTCCAAAAACCGGGTGATACATTTGAGCAAGACCCTTAGTGGTTGCCGCCAGTGTCATTACCCGCGCCATTGTGGTATTTCAGTCCCTACCCTACGAGGTTCTTTGCATGAATTACCTGTGACTGTTTTCATCTCCAAGAAAGTATGACTCAGAGTTTACAGACAAGGAAAGTGAGACTCAGGGTTTAAGCATTTACCTGTGTTCACACCAGTTATGAGTGGGAAAACTGGAATTCAAAAGCAGATGTTTCTGCCTCCAGGGCATGTACTCATTCAGTTACACATGCTGTCTACAGGACTCCTGGTTAGGCCATGTTCTGCAAGCATTGGCCAAAGCCACGTGTTGAGGGCTCTGAGCTCTAGTTGAGGCTGATCCTTCATCAGGTGGTTTCTCCAGTGTCCGCTTCCGTCGGGCAGACGGTAGGGATTCACTGAGTGTCATGGAACAGAGAGCTAATGCATGCACAGCACTCAGGCCATGAAGCCCAGGAAGTCAAGCTCTGCTTTTAGATTGGGCTTTGTAGCTTTGCTATCTGAGAGCCTCCTTTTGCCATCTTATTACATGACCTTGGGACAACTAATCTTTCCTGGCTCACAGCTTCCAAAAACACGTGATTGATCCTTAAAACTGCTTTTAGCGCATACTATTTTGAGACTATTTTATACTTAATTAATTAACGCTATTGACGTTTTTTGAGAATGCTTGAGAAAATTTTTAGATACTGAATTTTGACTTAAGTTGAAAGAAAAAATCTCCTGAGCCAAGTTTGTCTCAATGATGAGTGTTATTTTAGATTAAATCTTGTTAGAAGACTTGAAAGTGGTTTTTAATCAAACCCCTTAAAGCAGTTTTTAAGTTATAAGGCACATGTTTTCATTTTGTCTCTATTGTTAACATGTTTCTCTTTTTTAAAAAAAAAATTGTTTTATTGATTCTAGAAGGAAGAGAAAGGCAGGGAGAGATAGAAACATCATTGATGAGAGAGAATCATTGATTGGCTGCCTCTAACACTGGGGATCGAGCCTGCACCCTGGGCAGGTGCTCTGACCAGGAATCTAACCGTGACCTCCTGGTTCATAGGTTGATGTTCCATCACTGAGCCACACCAGTCAGACAATATATATCTCTTTTTATGCTATTGTAATTGCAGGACATATTTGAATTTAAGGATTGTAAGCCATTGACATTTTAATTTTTTTCTCCTGGGAACTATCAGGTATATATATATATTCAAATATTTCCCTTTGAAAACTATATGCTATTCAGAGCACTTTTCAAACTCCTTTTAAGATTCTTATTAATTTAGTGTATGATTACTCTAATAAAGTGACAGAAAACAGTCACATCTATTTAAAAATGTATGTTTACATGTGTTTAATGGCTTTATTTTTTTCATCAGCTTCTATACCTATTTTTTCTTCAAGGTGAATGATTTCGTGAGGGATAAATTCATGCACAAAGATGGTTCGGTCCCACTTGCCGCAGAAATTCTGGCTGGCGGCTGTGTAAGTACTCTTTGCAGATCTCTGCATTGAAAAGATTTGTTTTGCGCACCTATCACCTCCGTGCTAAACCCGTGTGGACTCCGGCTTCTGTTCAACCACAGATCCTGCGCCAGGCAGAGTCTCCTAGGGCTCCTCGGCTCTCCCTAGCAAGCAAGCTGTCCTGAGGTGGAAGGGTAAATGTTCCCGATCTTTTGCCTGCGAAGCCCTGCCTGCTCCGTTTCTCACTGCTTGCGGGCTGGTCTGCCACAGAAGTCATTTGGGGCAGAAGTGTTTGGCCTTTGGAAAACCTTTCCTGCTAACCTTTTTAGGACGTTCTTTCCTTGGGGCCCTCTCTGTCGGGTCAGGCACTAGTATTTGTAGTTTGAAGTCGGCGGCCATAGCTCTCTGCTTTGCTTTAGCTCCCGTGTGCCAGCAGCTCTCCAGGCTTCCCCATGCCTCCGGGAGGGGGGTCCCGGGAAGTAACCGGCTTAGTGTGCACTGCATTGTCAAAAGCGCTTGGAATGAGTTGTTTCTTTATGTGGATGAACACCCTGCATCTTGTTCTTAAGCTCAGAAAAACACGTCTCGTTTTATCTCATGTTCAGGTTTGTTCATGTGAATGTAAATACTTTGGGTAAATTAAACTCTTACACAAAGAATGGTGCTATTCCAAGATAAGATTGGTTAAATAAATGGGCTTTGATCACCAGAGCAGTGCAATAGTGGTGTGTGTGTGTGTATGTGTGTGTGTGTATGTGTGTGTGTGTGTGTATATATATATACTTTTTTTTTTGTCTTCATGTAAACCTATGTTTCTTATAAAGAAAGGTGAGGTCACATTTACTTTTTTAAATTAGCTCATTCTGTTCAGGCAACGGTATTCATAAAATAATCTTTGCTTGAAAATTGTTGAGTTTAGAAGCCGGGCAAATACCTCGGACTATTATGCCTTTGTTTGGCAAGGGCTTATTGTCCTGTCTAACATTGAATGGGGCTTCCTTGAATGTAGCAGGAGCTGAGAAGTCCTGGCTCCCGGTAATTCATAAGAGGTGGACGGACTGGGGCTGTGCCTGCCTCTCTGTTTGATCACTGACCTGTCGTAGGCAGCCAGGTAGGAGCTCCTGGTCCGGTAACTTTAGGAGCATTTAGAAGGAAAAAGGGAGCCTTTAATGTCCTAAATAAAAAGGATACATAGAATAATAACCAAAAGGAATATTAGGAGCTGCAGAAAACGCTCTTCATTTAACACAGTTTCCATTTGAGTAACTAGGTTTTCTCATTTGAAACAGGCACATCCCCAGGTTGTACCCAGCCTGTCCTGCAGGCTGTGCCAGGGGGCCCGGGTAGCAGGGCATTTCAGTAGGTCAGGTGGGTTTGTTTTATATTATATATATATATATATATATATTTTTTTTTTTTTTAAAGTCTGGTTTTAAACCTGCTGAAAAGACATGATTATATATCTCTGTTAAGAATTTAAAATGTGAAATTAATGATGTGATATGGCTCAAGATTTTGGCAATAATCTAGAGGTTTATTTTCTTTTGAATGAAAGCATTTTGCCCGCACAGGAGTCTGGGTGCCAAGGAGATTTGTTGTGGCACGTAGTGTCTCCCCTAGGTGGTCTTGTTGTCTCCTGCATGGTTGCCCACTTCAAGCACAAAAGCCCAGGTTGGCATCTGGAGTGGTGCCTCGTCATTGTAAAGAGGTGCAGCCCTCCTTCAAGCCTGATCTAAACACGGGCTTAAAATTGGAGCCACTCGGGCTTTACAGCTACTTAAAATAGCTGTGAAATGAGGTCTGCCATCCTTCATTTCAAAGGCTGGTAGACAGTGGTCCTCAGTGTTTCAAGTCTCCTGTTTTGTCTCTCCCTTCACCCTCCCCACTCCTTCTCCTCTCCCCCTGGCATGGCTTTAAGAAGTAAGAGTTTATTTTGCAGGTAAGCAGTCCTGTAGGTAGCAAACAATCCAGTCCTCTATAACTCCCTGAGGAGCGGGATGGATGAGTCCACTTTTATGGTGTTTTTTTAACAGCAGGAGCATCTCCCTTTGCAGACTTTGGCAGTTTTCCTGATCATCCGGGCCAGCTACACACCTTAGAAAGTCCCTGTGAGCCCACAGCCTAGCTGTCCGTCCTATTGGGAATACAAAGGGTTTTGAGAAGTTGTGTCACATGAGTGGTTCCCCTGCTTAGTTCACCCAGGCATTTCCAGGCGCTGACTTTTAAGCCCCTGGGCAGCTCACCTTGCTTCATTATTACCGAGAATTAGTACACATGGCTGGCTTCTGCACGTGTAATCAAAGCCACTCATTTCTTTGAAGAAGGTCTTTTCTGTGTTATGCTCTGTTTTCTGTAAAAACAGAAAATATGCAGGGAGGTCTTGGTCTCATAACCTTCACAGTGCTTAGCTAAAGTAAGAGTATACTATAAGGTTTGATTTCATTTTTTTTTTTTTTTTTGAGGAACAACAAAAATGTTAATAAATTTGGAGGAAAAAGGGATTAAATTATTTCCTATTCATTCATTTATGTTTGATATAATAATATCCTCGAGTGAGGTGATTTAAAAATACTCTTCTCTTTCATTGACACACATAAAAGGGTGAATCTATTTTAAAAACTCATTTTTTGCACACTTACTGTTTAGAACATTGAAAAATTTGACTTCAGTTTTCCGAGCATTTGTATAGATTCACACTTACCAGTAGTGTTATATCCAACACAGTTCAAATAAAGCTAAAATGCTGAGCCTGTGGTTTATAGACTCTAAATCTGAAAGGTTCTTGTGATGTGTGTTTTTTCCATATGTTGGTTTAGGCCAGAAGTTGTAGGAGTTTGGACAGAGACCTGGACCCTCAGGTGACTCTAATAACCTATATAATTTATGGGTACATTGTTGTTATTGCTGTGTTGCTGTTACTTTAGGAAAAAATAACATATGTCATGCCATGAGGTCTGTAGGTTACAGTCCCTAATTCCAAAAAATAAGTATGAATTGACTGTCTTCTATGCATCTAGTGGTATAGTCAGTTGGAATCCAAGGGGACTGGAATTTTTAGCTTGTGATCCTTTGATCTTAATGTCATCAGATAAAATGGGGCCATGACTAGTTTCAAGGAGATATAAATATGCTGATCAGCTTAGTAAATGAAAACAAATGGAATAATATTCACCAGAAAAAAATGTCAAAACGTATGAACCTCTGTCTTATAAAGCTCATATTATTAAAAATTATTCACATACCAATAAAAATAGTATTCTGTAATAATTTTTGGAAAGATAAGTGAGCATGACTTTTAAACAACAATCTATAATAATAAAAGCATAATATGCTAATTAGACTGGACAGCCTAACAATGTTCCAAAGGACCTTCTTCCCTATCTTACCAATGAAGCCGAGGCTGCAAGGGATGAGGCAAGCCACTACGACTCCGAGGGCCAAGCCCCTTGCATGAATTTCGTGCATGAGGCCTCTAATCTATATATATAAAAGGCTAAGTGCATGGCTAACCAGCTGACCAGCTGGTAGCTATGACCACACTGACCACCAGGTGGCAGATGCTCAACGCAGGAGCTGCTGAATGACAGCAACTTTACAGAGTGCCCTCTCACTCTAGGACCCTCGGGGATGTCAGACTGCCGGTTTTGGCCTGACCCCCATAGTCCAGGCTGAGGGACCCCACCTTTCGAAGGGACCCCACTCCACAGATGCCCTTTGAGCCCCTATGCCACTCCAGGTGTGGCCAGCTGGGGAGGGACTGAGGGAGGTTGGCTCCAGGGCATGTCAGCCTGTCTTGCCCAGCCCCACCCAGCCCCTGCCTGCCACCTTCCAATTAATTTCCTTTCAATGTGCATGAATCTGTGTACTGGGCATCTAGTCCTTTGATAATAGGCTCACTGTATTTTTCCATTGAGATACATGCACATGTGTGTGTGTGTGTGTGTGTGTGTGTGTGTGTGTAAATATATCTAATGCTTATGGGAGTTTATAGCCATTTTAACTGGAAAAAATAATTGATATGCTCATGTTATTGGTGAAATTTATTCTCTCATTAGAGATTTTTATGCACAGAGGACCCATAAGCCTGGCTTTGTGCTTTTAAATGATATCCTAGTTTCTACAAGGAGAATGGTTTGTAGGAAGGGCAAGAGTGGGAAGCAGGGAGGCAGGTCAAGAAGGACTTGTTGAGGTCCAGATAGGAGATACATGATTAATGATGTTGAGCATCTTTAAATATACCTGTTGACCATTTGAATGCCCTCTTTTAGGAAACGTTTATTGAACTGCTTGTCCCATTTTTTTTTTTTTGGAGTGGATTATTTTAAATCTTTCTTTTTTAAAATTCCAATGTGCATTCAATATTATTTTGTATCAGTTTTAGTGGACAGCATAATGGTTAGACAAGCTTATGCTTTACAAAGTGTTCTCTCGATATTTCAAGTACCTGCCTGGCACCATGCATAGTTGTTACAACATTATTGACTATATTCCTATGCTGTACATTACATCCCCATGACTGTCTTATAATTATAAAAATAAATTTGTACCTTTTAAAAATATTTTTATTTGTTTCAGAGAGGAAAGGAGAATGAGAGAGAAAGAGAAACATCAGTGATGAGATGTTTGATTGATTGGCTGCCTCCTACATATCCCTACTGAGATCCAGCCTGCAACCTGGGTATGTACTCTGACCGGGCATCGAACTATGACCTTCTGGTTCATAGGTAGACACTCAACCACCAAGCTACGCAAGCTGGGCTAATTTCTGCTTTTGTGATCTTTCTCTTCCCAGGCTTTTCTGTGGACATGTGTCCTCCCAGCAGTTTTCTTAAGGCAGAGTTTTTATTTCTCTGTGCAAGTCTCTATGCACATATCCTAGTAATAAATATTGAATGACATGAAGCTTACTCATTAAATTGAATTTCTTTGGGGTTACTCTTATGTAGCATGTCAAGTAGCGAAGATTTATTATGTATTATGTTGATGCTTGTGAAATAAGGTCATTTTTTAAATGCTTACAT